CTCATAAAGCCATGCCAAGGGCCCTGCAATAACCCCTGCTAGCTCCCTCAACACCCTGGGGTGGAGAGCATCTGGACCTGCTGATTTGAGCATGTCCAGCCCCTCCAGAAGCTCTCTAATCCGGCCCTCCCCAACCTGAGTTCTGGAGGCGTTCCCCTCAAGTCCATTTAGCATCACGGTGGGGAAGTTCCAGTCCCTGCACAAGAAAATGGAGGTGAAGAATTGGTTAAAGAGGTCTGCTTTCTCCTCTGGCGCAACCACCAGATTGCCCAGAGAATCTTGCAGGGGACCCACATTTCTTGGTGCTTTCTTCATCCTCCCTATATATTTGAAAAAGGACTTTTTATTATCTTTGATCTTGGATGCTAGTCCTAGCTCTATGTCTGCCTTAGCTTTCTTGACAGCCCCCCTACAGGCCTGAGCAGAGGAGGTATACTCCTCTTTGGAGATAGCACCACCCTTCCACTGGTTGTACGCCACCTTTTTGGCAATCAGGCATTCCCAGACACCCTTGGTGAACCTGGGGGGCTTTTGGGCACTCTTGCCCCCCTTGCTTCTTGTTGGGATGGTCTCCCCTTGGGCCCTGAGTATTGTCTCCTTAAGGAACGACCACTCATTTTGGGCACTGAGTTTCCCTGCTCTCGAGAACCCCAGTGCCTCTCCCACTAATCTACTCAACTTGTTGAAATTGGCCCTATTGAAATCTAGGGCTACCGCCTTGCTATTGATTAAAGAAAGCTGAATGTAAGACCAGACCATGGCTTTTTTTTAAAAAACTGTGCATTAGCGACAATCATTTGATACACCTATGATGTTTAGGTCATTTGGAAGATAAGAAATAGCACAGGCAACATATCACCTCCATGCAAGACTACAGTAGCTGCTACTGACATATCTGCAATCAAAAGCTAAATGGAACCCGGGGTACCTATACACATGCCCAATGCCTGCTCTAACACATTTTAATTAGAATATGTTGGAGCAGACTCAATTAATCAACTGTTCCAGCAGTCTCGGCATCATGTGTATTCAGTGACCCTGCACTTCAAAATGATGAGGGTGCTTTAACTAAAGCTCATCGAGCTTCACTTTGAACTAGGAGATGCTGAATACATAAGATGTGGTGGCACTTTAATTAGACCAGCTCCTGAGAGCCAGTCTAATTAAATCGCCTCCCCCCCAGCCCAGGATCATGGGTAAAGACACCCTTGATGTTTAAGCAAAAAGCCAATGCAATGTAAATGAAGCTCTCTGGCATGGCCAATGGGCCTGCAAGTACTTTATATACAGATTTATCAGGGCCTTTACATGGTGGACTCTCTTCAGAATGTCATGGTCAGTTGCACCAAATTTTACAAAAATATGCCCAGCTTTAATTCACAGATTAACTGGGTACTTTGTACACTGGCAAGCTAGGGCCACACATTTTGCCTGTTTGCCTTATTTCCTATTTCCTTGTGGAGAAAATGGTTTTCAGATACACAGTGTCTCATCCCTCTGTTCATGAAACACTGGCATTAATTCCAGCACAGGTGAAAAGAAATTATTCTGAAAGGAAAGCAGAATTTCCCTGCTCTAGAGAAAATACATGTGCTGATTCAAAGGAAAAACAGCTAGGTGCAGTAAGATGTCACACATGGCTAATGTTGGAGAGAGAAAAAAAATCAAAGGAACCAAAAAACTGTTGGCAAGAAGTACAGTGTTTGTGAAATATTACCACCTGAAGGACTGCCAAATTTCCATGCCTGCATAGGCATCTGGTCCCAGAATTCCCAGTCATACATGGACGAAGTGTCCTATAGCTGTCCAATCACATTCATCATAATCAGATCTTTGACTAACAGGATCAAATGCTTTTTATTTTTATTTATTTATTTATTTTTGTTCTAAGCAAAAGTCTCTCCCTGTGAACTCATTTTGCAGTTTGTGCTTTACTCCATAGATAGCATCTCCTTTCTTAACCCTTCTCTGATGAATTTGAAATCTCGCTGGAGGAGACAATCTTCACAGTCTTTTTATCTTAACCTGATACACAAAAGCAACAAGAGTAGTGGACTTTCTTTTTTTTTTTTTATAGATTAAGGGTCAGAAGGGACCTAGTAGATCTTCTAGCCCGACCCCCCACCAGGGCGGGAGAACAACAAAAAACCCCAAAAAGAGAAACGGGACTCAAATGAGTCCAGCCAGGTAGGCATCCAGCCTCTTCTTAAAGACCCCCAGGGTAGGGGCCAGCACCACTTCCCTTGGAAGTTGGTTCCAGCTCCTAGCCGCCCTAACTGTGAA